ATTATTCCATTCTGACTTATGGCAGTTGAAGTTGATCTTCGTCTAGACGGCTGCGTTCCATTATAACTCAAAGGATACGACCAAGATTTTGCACGTGACTGATAGAAAAAAACGAATTGATCAGTCGTATTATAGGTTTTGCTAATTTCATTTATCATCAATGTTTGATTCGAAGTTATAGTTGCATTATGATCAATTTCATTAAGGAGTGCAAGATTCTGTTGTACACCTCCAATCAGATACGCTTTTTCATTAACAGCATCTCCGAGCACCACGGCACCTTAATAAAAAAATATAGATATGTATATTAAGTGTTTTTATAATTAGCTACACAAACGAATTTAATTGCTAACCTTTTTCACTTGCATATTCCATTCGTGCAGAAGTACTTGTAAGGTCAACATATGGTGGGCTAACAGTGGAAAATTGAGATGAAAGATTTAGATAAAAAACCTCATCGGACAAATTATACACTCTTATTGAGCTCTTAATTGGATTTGCGGATGGAATAAAACGAGACCCTCCCATAAAATATAATAGATCTCCAATTATTATTGCCATATGTCCTGCTCGAGCTTCTGGTATAAAACTAATGGCTTCGTAACACTTAAATATGAAAATAATTATGAAAAAGATAATTTTGCTTGATTTTGTTTTTAGATTCCACATTTTTATTATTAAATTTATTACTTTATAAATTAATATGATTAGAAAAGGATTAATGATGGGAATAGAAGCTTACTTATGCTATGTTATCTACTGTATTATTGTTATCCAAAGTAGTAATAACAGTGTAGTTAACTTTATGTACGGTTAATTGGTGCTCTGAAACACCTTCCATACGTGCGAAAAGTATAATAATATCAAGAGATTATCGTTACATGGCGGAACCATCTAATTCTCTTTTTAACAACAATTGTGTCACCAAATTAACTGTTCCTATTTATTCGTGTGAGCGTAGATTTTGTTTATTCTGTGTCGGCCTGAAATGTGCGTAACACAAAATTCTATAGCTGTCGTCGTAATTACTAAATTAAAGGAATTATTTATGGAGCTCTTGAATAGCACAATGCCTCCATAATACTATGTGTACTGGGTTGGTGCGCAATAATGGCCAGATTTTACCAATCGATAAGAAATTTATAACTATGGTTGCTAAATGGTAATATATAAAAGAACAAAATCTAATGCATCACATTATTGTGTCTCATACAGTCAGACGTTGCTCCCTAAATGCATAATTTATGAAACACCTCTCCAAATCCCAACTCATCATGCATATAGATTTTTACCCCCTAAATGCATCTATTTTGCGCAACAGATTACGTAATATTCATTGACGATCCAAGCATGCTTGTTTTTACTAATTTCCCCGAATTTCTGATTGGCTAGAATTGTTTACATGCCATCGTCTTTTTAAAATATAACGGCTTGGTTAGGTGCTCTTATACTAAACTTTTGCAAGGAATTTTTTTATTAGTAGAGCAAAAATGGTTTCTTAGGCAAAAATTTGAGTTTTCAAAAATCAACAACGACGTTGTGGGCGCTCTTAATCGACAAAACAACGTTGTTGGCGCCCTTTAATACTAAAGGGCTATT